AGGACACTCAGTTTGGGGCTGAGGGATCCCATTTTCCAAGCCAGTGAGTAGTTTTAAGAGCCTGCTGAGATGAGGTCCATCAGCAAAGAAAACCACGGTGGGGCATTCAGCACACGGCAGGGCTGCTTCCTAGGGAATTGAATGTAAACCCAAGGGTTTATTTGGAGCAACAACGCTTTTAGGGGTGGAAGATATAGGAAGACACAACTGGTTGCTGCAATACACAAAAGTTTATTTTTGACTTTTTTTTCTTTTCTGAAGGCAAAATATAATAGAACTGAACATCAATGAATTTTGTACAACAAAAAACAGCTTTTAATATGGAACAGACAGTCCATGAACGTTTCTAAGTCCCAGAATGGCTTTCCTTTTTCAAAGTCATGCTTTCTCGCGGTCCACAGGGAGTTGGCACGGAAGAGACGGTGGCAGCCAGCCGGGGAGGTGAGTGGAAGCCAGAGGGCCTCCCTCAGATCCGGGTCAGCTGGTGCCACAGACTGGATGGGAGGATGCTTTCCACTTTCTCCATGACAAAGTTTAAGGGGGCAAACAAAGTGCTGAGGAACTGCAAGGAAACCAGAAAGACACAGATGTCAGGAGAGACCTCGGTCACAAGTACGCAACAAACCTCTCCCACCTACGCGTGCATCTTAAGTCTCTGTGTTACGAAAATCTCGAAAGGCGTACGATTTCATATTTATGTTTAGAGGAGACAGAGGCTGGTTATCAAACCTGCGTTCCAGCCCCTTGGCTGTTAGATAAGGGGAGAAGTGTCTGCTGACAGCCCCCTTCACTCCTCTGACAGCTGGGGTCTTCCAACCAGTCTGCGGGCCTGCTGGCTGCCCATGCAGATGCCTCGTGTCATCAAAAGAGACTACAGATGGGTGGCCAGTGGGCAGAAGGTTAAAACACAGTGACAGCTTAGACTACCTTCTCTCCTAGCTGGGTGTAGAACTCACTTTAAAAGGAAAAGGTCAAGTTTGTTATATGGTGGTGAATTGCTTTGGGATGCTATTGTCTTCTGAACACTGGCAGCCTGTGCTCAGTTCTGATGTGCCTGGGGAAGGCTGCAAACAGGCTACTCCCTGGAGGGCATGTCCCTGTTGAAGAGGTGCTGCTCTCAGTGGACCTTTGTGAGCTCTTTCACATCTACTTTTCTTATAGAGAATGCTCATTATCTGTGGCTTTTAAGAAAGCCAAGTGCCTTGGTCTGAGACTCATTTAACATCTCAAAACTACTCTATGTTCTTGTGAAGAAGTATCCTCATTTTACAAACCATCCAGCATTTGGCAGAAGATGTACCCCACCTAACCCCAGCCAGGGCAGAGAGGGGCGTTTGGATGGTTTCCTTCCCCTTGATGTGTTCAATCAAGATAGCACCTTACTAGGGTTCAACATCTGGTTCTTGTACCATGGGGTCTTTTGTCCTAATCCCTTGTTGACTGCATAGCAATGTCTATACCACCTAGAATATAGTCGTGGACGCATGGTCCTCAGGTCTAACAAGTTATTAAACAGGTCCCTCTACTAACCATATGTTCTGTGGATGGTGGGTCCTCAAAAAGGGGTATTATAGGCAAGTTTCCCAAATTCACTTGGCCTTCGAATCTTATATATACATATATTATATACAGAGAGACAGAGACATTGCCAAGGTTCCATAAAACACATCATTTGCCTGTAATACTCAACTCCATAAAGAAGAGCTAAGTGCTAAAGTGGTCCATATAAATCAGAGATTCTGACAGGAGTTGGAAGATGGGGCTTCATAAGTAAGGTGATATTGCTTTTGAGGTTATCATATCCTAAAGACTTGAACAAAAATGGATGTAGAACTGTGAGGTTGTGACTGAATGGGAAAGGAACTGCTGAAGTAATAGCATAAGCCAGCAGAATGAGATGGAAGATATCAACGTCTGTACTCTGAGCAACTGCACGCACTAAAATGTGGGACACGGGGAGCCTCGACTTACGTTTGAGCGAATGGAAATGTTGTTACAAAGTTCATTCAAAATAAAGGCTTTTTTTGGTTTGCTTGCTTTGTTTTGGGCACTGACCCGACTTGAATAAAAAGGACAAAAGCGAGGCCTTTAAAAATCAAGGGGAGAGCTTCACCCTGTTTGATATCCATTCACTGCCCCTCTTCCCACACTGCCCAGCAAGGCACAGCATCCCTGCTTCCCTGGATTACACCTGCCCCCCTCCACCATGTTACACGATAGAATTAAGCCCCAATGCCGCCACTGCATGTATTTCTCTCCCCCACTCTAGAATGCACCACCCTTAGGAGAGTTGAGCCCTGGTGGCACAGCAGTTAAGCGCTCAGCTGCTAATGGAAAGGTTGGCAGTTTAAGCCCAATAGCCACTCTACGGGAGAAAGATGTGGCAGTCTGCTTCAAACTGCCGACCTTTTGCTTAGCAGCCTAAACTCTTAACCACTTTGCCACCGGGGCTCTGACTATAGGGTTGCTACGAGCTCGAATCAATTTGACAGCAATGGGTTTGGTTTTGGGTTCTTAGAGGGCTTGATTCTCTTGCAGAACCACTGTTGAGATATGCTTCCTTTTGTACTAAGTTACGTTCCACCTTAGCACCTCTCCCCACATCCTCCTCCTCATCCCACACCCACAAGGAAGCAGCAGACAATGCAGTGAGGCATCCTAAACTGCTAAGCCCTTTCATTTAGCTACCAGATGAAGGCCAGTGGCTTTCATCAGGCGCTATTTAATACAAATTGTTTGGAGGAGAATGCCTTACTTGGGATGCTCCTCGGTATTTCTTCGCATGTTTTAAAACCAGTCAACACTTTTTGGCCAGAAACCCAACCAATGCACAAAGAGAAACAGAAGTTTCACATATAGGCTTAGGAGGAAATTTATTGCCTGAAAAGTTAAGTCTGAATGAGTAACACCAGGCAACCCTGAAACAACCCATCTATCTCAATGTCCAAAACTTCTGTCCAGAGGGCAGAGACACACGGTCAAATTTTTTACCAAAATGCACCATAATTCAATCAGTGTCTTGTGGTGAGAAAAAGCAACTGAAATAATAAAAAAGAGAGAGTGACACTTCAATCCCCTGAGCCTGATTTTCCTGAAACACCGTTATTTAGAAGGTCATGGCTCCCAACATGCTTCATTAACATTCGAAACGCCTCTGCTTATCTGAATAAGTTCCAGGTGCCCTATTGCAATCAGACAATTGACATTTCACTGTAATCAATATCAGACTTCAAAGAAGTCGGGGCCTATAAGTGAAGATGAGAGTCAGGAGTCAGGGGGGCTCGTCTCAGGGAAAGATCGAGACCAGAGGAGGAAACACAGGGCCCTTGAAAGCAGAAAGGGTCAGAACGCTGACCTTCCCACGTTCGGCGAGGGCTGCGTTTTGGAATAATCACTTACTTATATGAGCAACCTTATCTAGGTGACCAAACATCCTAGGAAGAGTTAGTCCTAAATCGTTGAGGCCGATTAGATTACGGGGAGAGCCAGGGGAAGCCTCTCATTTGACTCCTCTCCAGTTGCTCACACTTCCATGTGGGGTTCCCTACTGGCTGCATATCGACATGTAAACACAGTGGAGCGTTCCCAAGCTGCAGGGAAGCCTGGGGGATGGCGGTGCAATCTCCCTGCATCTCCTGAAAGTCATTATCCTGGGGACATTATCTCAGGCGGGAGTTGAGAAAATCATTTCACAAGCCGCAAATGGTTGCAGGCAGCCTATAGGGCGGCCGTGATAACCCGAGGGGCTCCACGAGGGCCCTGATACAGTGACAAGGGGAAAATGTGGAGAAGAGTCTGGGGGCAGGGTGACGGAGGGGGAGATGGGGCTTGTCTCATTCAGGCCATCCATCTCCTTCCCCACCAAGTCTCTCCAGACTTTCTGGAAAGTGCTAAACCTCACTGAAGGGCAAGATAAATGTGACCCTCTGGACAGAGGTTTAAAAGCAAACTTATCTAAACTACACTTTCAAATCATGAGTGGCTGACCAAACCACCACACCATGGTAGAGTACAGAATACGAGGACCCGGAAAGCATCTTTACATTTAATGTATCATTTGAACTCAAAACCAAAGCTTCAGAAACATGGAGTGAGGAGTGGGGCCCCTTGTCTGATGTCGTGATGAGCACACCCTCCAATATTCTGGAGGGACAGCTGTGTAGCCTTTCCCAGAGAACCCCAGGTATTTTCTTTACCGTCCCCCATACCTCCTAATCACCTCCAGGGTTAAAGTCATTTCCAGCACTTAGGTGTCTGCAGGTAAGTCACTTCGTTCAATAGAGTGGTTCTCAACTAGAACCACCTGGCGAGGGTCTGAAACTCAGATGCCCAAGCTGCACCCAGACCAATTAAGTCAGAGTCCCTGGCAGGGAGCTCAGGTACCGGCATGTCTTAAGCTCCCTAGATGGTTTCAAGGTATACCAAAAAAACCAAATCCACTGCCGTGGAGTCAATTCCAACTCATAGCGACCCTATAGGACTGAGTAGAACTGCCCTATAGGGTTTCTAAGGCTGTAAATCTTTACAGAAGCAGATTGCCACATCTGTCTCCTGCAGGGCGGTTGGTGGGTTTGAACTGCTGACTTCTTCGTTAGCAGCTGAAGCTTAACCACTGCGCCACCATGGCTCCTTTCGAGGTCAAGCCAGGGTGAAACCATGGACTAACAGAAGGAGGGTCAACACTTCCACCTGGGCAGCTCCAACAGCACACCTGCACCTGCACAATGGCTACACAGAGGTTCTGCTGTCTCGGAACCAGTGTTCTTGGGAGGAAGAATGGCCTCAAGCACATCCTCAGCATCTGCGGTGTCCTTGTTAAAAATACAGAGTCCTAGATGCTAAGACTCGAGATTCTGGATTTCTGGGGTTGGGGACACGTGAATTTTATGCACACCAGGGGCTGTGAATGTCTGTTCTGCTCCAAAACTCCTACCAAATGCTGTTAGTTTAATGAAGAATACTGGACTGATGACATACTTTTACAATTGTGCTTTTAAAAAATGTTAAAGGAGGAACATAAAAAGGAGAAACAACAATAGTTTAATATAAATATATTCTTATTTTCAATTTTACTAGGTTGCACTCTAATCTACTCTGAGTTTGGGCAAGGACTTATTACTCAGAGGTTGGGTTGGGAGTAGAAGACAATAATCAATAGCGTAGGTCCACTAACTGGAGGACATCCACGGAGGCAACTTGGGTGGTGCTGTGTTTAGAAATCAAGTCATGTACAGAAGATTTAAGGGAATTTAAGATATTCTGCCTGGAGAAAAGAGAAGAAGGTAGTCAGTTAGACAATAGAGGTGGTCATGAACGTATTAGCTGTCTTAAGAATGTGCAGGAAGAAGTAGACTTGTTAGTGCAGTTTCAGGGAGTAGAACAGGAACAACAGGAAATTAAAGGGAGCCATATTCTATCAGTATTAGAAAGAGTTCTGAGGGTTCCAATAATAGAGTGGGTTTTGATGTTAAAGAGGTGAGTTCACTGTCACTGAAAATATTCAAGAAGAGTCTAGATGGTCTCCATCAGGGATACTATTGAAGGCAATTTGTTCAAGATCCCTTTCAGCTCTGAGCATCAATGATTATAAATAAAAAGAAGAAATGCTAAGCTGTACCTGAGTTTTACATTGATTCTTTCTGCAGAAACCACTACCATTTATTTATTTAATAATCATTTATTGAACACCTACTATTTGCAAAGCACTAAGCAAAGCTTCGGGGGTACAGAGATGAGGAAGTCACAGTCCTGCCCTCAAGGAGCTCACATTCTAAAGGAGGGACAGACAAGTTTTCAACAATTATATTATAATACAATACAATAAAGGTGACAGTATAGGTATTCATGGAATACTGTGGGATCATAGAGAAGAGACACATAACTCAGCGTGGAAGAAACTTAAAGAAAGCTGAGTGTAAAAGAATGAAGAGGCATTAGTAGGGTGGACAAGTGGGGGTGGTGATGGTGAAGGGCATCCACGCGGAGCAAACAGCACATGCAAAGGCACTGAGGTGAATCTGGGGAGTGGAAAGTAATTCACTATGGCCCAAGAGTAATGTCTGTGCAAGAGTTGGGAGAGATGAGGCTGAAGAGCCAAGCAAGGGCCAGATCATAAAGGGCCTTGTATGCCATGCTAAAGAGCTGAAACGTTATCCTGAAGTTAGTGGGAAACCACTGGAGAAATTCAAGCAGGGATGTGACACGCTCAGATTTGCAATTTAGAAAGATCATTCTTGAGTCAGTAGGAAAGACAGTCCAGCAGAGGATAAGACTGGAAGCAAGGAGACCAGTTAAGACTATTGTAGGAGTCCAGGCAAGGAATAATGAGGCCCTAAACTAAGAGACAAGCCATGGGGAGAGAAAGGAAGGGAAGGAGAGCTGAGTCACATTGACTGAATGTCTAGAGGAGGTTAGAACTGACAGACTGTGGAAGCCGACACAGATCGGATGTGGGGAGTGAGATGGGGAAGAGTCTGGGATGGCTGCCGAGTTCTGGCTTGAGTAACTGGGTGGATGGCAGGGCTATTACTGGTGGAGGTCGGGAATACAGGAGGAGGAGCAGTTTTGGTGGTGGGAGAAGAAGAGTGATGAGTTCAGTTTTGAAAATGTTGAGACTGAGGTGCCGGTGGAATGTCCAGTTCATCTTCAACACGCATGAAAATACTCTTGCAATTCCAGTCCCTGAACTCTGCCGAGCAGAAAATGTCAATCATCTGGAAAGGGATTAAATCAACCCAGCCACGTTAGAAATCATCCTTGCCGACTCCACTAGCCTTGAAATCTTAATGGCGTTCCAGGGAAACAACTCATACTTTTTTCCTTGTTCCTTCTGTTTAAAACTCATCTGTGGCAAAATCAGTAAACTTATCCTCACTGTGTGTGCAGTTTTCAACAAGGAAACAGTGGTTCTTGGCTATCAATGCAGGCAGCTATTCTTATTAAAGCTACTCTCCACAACCCACCTAACAACTCTTAATGGATTTCCATATTTCTAAATGTCATGTTGGTTTACTTCTTAATACTACAAGCCCTTCACACCCTCTCAGTCCATCCCCCAAACAAGCCAAGGGTTTTTAGCCATTAAAAAAATGTTATTTCATCATCTTTGAAAATATAAACCTCACCCTTCTGGAAGGAAAGACCCACAAGTATCCAAAGATTAGAAATAATGCCATCCAGTTTATATAAAACTGAGTAATTTCCCATACATTTTTCATTTGCTAGGATTCCTTTAATTATGTATTTTATCCTTGTGGACCTCATGAATTTTTTGGTAACAGCTGAAATTTTTTTTTTCGTGGAATGAGGCAAAGCATGCATTAAATAAACAACCCACACTTTCTATGACACTCAGCCCTATGATGCTAAAGGAAGTTAAACAGTGAACAATGGTCAATACAGGCTCATACCATCTGTAAACGACAATCCCAGTTTCCCTCATGCTACTTCCCCAAGGCCCTTCTCTTGCCAAATACTCACAGCTTTTGCGAAGACCCCCATGAGTTCTGGGAACTGATGTGTCAGGAGGGCCAGCATGGCTGTGAAGGAACATAATCCAGCAGTAAAGAGAATAAAGAAGGGAAGCTCCTTCTTTGGGTAAACTGAGACTTCATGGAAAGCTGTGAAGACCAAAAAGAAATATGAGGGTGGAGTGAACTGTCTTCTCAGGGAATTCCTGTATGGTGGGACAGACTCTACAGAACTTTGACTGAGCCAGCTAGAAATAAAAAAGGTATGACATGAACAAACCACACTCAAACACCTGACCAGGCCTTTGGCTGCCTATCTGCTTCTCCCAAGTCCATGTTCGACCTTCAGCCCCTACCTAGGGGCAGGAGAGGGCTGGCTTGTGGATGTCAGACATTCAGGGTGGGGCCAGAAGCATCATTTATGATGAATATACAGTATTCCTTTCTCAAAAACAAACACAAATAAAACAGCTAAACCTCATTCAAATTATAAAACGTATGTTCATTGTACAAAACCTGGAAAATCCCAAATCAAGTATACTGGGGAAAAAAATCCTCTATATTTTCACCTTCCTGTAACTCTCTAACTATGACAACGAGGTGCTATTAGTTTACCTAATATTTTTTCCTGGCACACTGTGAGTATGTCAGTGAAGGGTGCTGCCCCAACAAAGAGGCATTCAGCAGGGAGCTCATGTGCTGGCCTCCCCAGCCTGCAAGGGCTGAGCTGAGGGTCAAGGCGGTGACGGTCATCTGGCACGATTGTAGGAGACTTTTGATGATAAACACACTTCCAACAAATACCGAAAATAAATAAATAAATAAATAAACAACTGGCACTCTTTAGACGGTCTTTCATAGCATTTAAACTTCAGACTTTGGGTTTTGGGAAAACCAAAAAGCTGTGGTACAAAAGACGAGAGAATGGACTCCCCCAGCTTTCTGCTTATTGTGTGGCTGCCTGTGACCGTCTGGGTTGGGGGTGCTAGATAGGAGGGGAAGGGGCTGGTCTGCACAGAGGAGGAAAGACCCACCTGCCTGGGGTCCTGGGAGGGGAGCTGTGAGGAGCTGCACGTGAGCAAGCCAAAAGGTAAAAGTCTAATTAGAAATCGTTCTCTTCCCCCCTGCAACGCCAAGATCTGAAGGCCTTTCCTCTACCGCTCATCTCTAGCGACTCAGAGCCCTAAAAACAGTAGTCCATACTGTTGAAAAGAGAGGGCAGAGAAGATCGAGAGGGACAAAGTACAGACCTGAATCCAGGTGAGTCAACCTGCGAGGATGCAAACATAGGGTTGGACGTGTGCCCAGGATCTGATGTGGCAACAGTCTCACTTTCCATGTGCAAAACAGGGTCTCCTTTAAAACACCTGACCTCTTCCTACCCTCACCCTCCATGCTGAACCCCCCAAAAGATTTTCTGGAGAGATCAGACTTTGATCATTATATTCAATTAAATAAATGTGGGCCATAATTTTAGAACATATCAAGATTATCCCTATAAAGTTTCTTTCAAGAACTACAATCTTGTTCTAATAATGCATCTATCCTCATAGAAATTTAATTGGACCCAATTAAAACATTTAAAAACTCTGTATTTTCCAGAAAATTGAAACTTTAACCAGGATGTCCCTGAAGGGGGGTCAAAAGGTTAAGTATGGGCCCGTAATAGGGATTTCTGAAATCAAATGTAATGTAGTGGGAGGCACCAGACTCATTTTATAAGAAGACTTGGACAAGGAGGACCACATCATCGAGCTCTCCCAGTTCCCCCAGTAACAAATCCCACAGGGTCTGGGTAGCACGGAAACAAAGTGCCTCCTGCTGCTTTAATTGGAGGACAGTCATCAGTTTTGCACCCAGACCCGGCCACAGGGAGATTTATGACTGGCTCAATAATGTTGGCGTTTGGAAATTTACTGTGCACCCAGGCCTCCAAAATTACACTATTCCTCATGGCAAAGTGTTTATATATGTTATAGCTATGAGCTATTGATATGATTGTGGTTGTTAAAAGGGAAGGGGTGGCAGGAGAGAGGAGGAGAAAGAGAGAATAGTTAAGATTTGGAGCTTATTATCTGAGGGAGAAAAATATGTCCTAAGTCGGGGCCACATGAAGAGCCTGGACATGATTCTTGTACACAGTATGATTCAATAATGACTATTTAGTCCAAATTGTCAAAACAATGTTGTATTACAGTAACCACAATGATATTTTCCACATGTGGTGTGGGCCATTAGGCTGCTAGCGTGTAAGGCACTCGAGGGCAGGGTTTGCCTTTTGTGCGCCTTGATACAGTGCTGAGGCTGCACTTGGGCTCTGCACATGTTATTCCAGCTCACTAGTCCGACCCATGAGACGCTCACGGGAGATCCCTCTGGCCACAGCCCCCAGGCTCCTCCTCTGCAGGGCTGCCCTCCCACCTGTGACTCATCTGCAGTTCCCTCTGAAGTCAGCTTCCTCTTCAGGCCCTAGTCTGTGTGGGCCGCATCAGACCAGCTGGAGAGCTCAGGCAGAACTTGCACGATGGACGAGGCCAGCATCTCGCCTGAATATCGCCCAAACCAGGGGTCTCCGGGATCAGGCCAACCAGTCAGTACATGATACTTTTTCATCTAAATGCTAGTTCTTTAGGATCTTTTCCTTTGTTGAGTCTAGAGAGACTCGGAGAAACAGGAATCCAAACCCACTCACATAACTCAATTTAACCATATGCCATCACACACTGGAGTGTTTGGGAGTACAGTAATAAAAGACTAAGAACATTATAGGCATTCACCCTTCCCCACCTCTTCCCAACCCCGCCTTTAGTCACAGCAACCTTGCTGGCATAAGAGAGGGCTAGAGAGAGTTGAAACTTACATGGAAGCAGTTCTCTGTCTGCTGTTTCTGTACAGATTGGGTAGGGGTAAAATAGGTGCCCCTTTTCCAAGGGATAAGGGATCATCCGAAAAGCTGAAAAGGAGAGACAGTATATTAGAGGTCCAGTATTTGTCTCATAACTACCTAACTTCGGAATGGGACTTTTGAGCATTTTTATAATGGGGAACACTTCTACAAACAACTCCAGGAACGAATGCAAGACCTACCTGACCTCTGAGGCGTGTACCAGATAAACTCTCAGAGATACATTATGATGTATTACTCGCACAGTAATCTCACACTATATATTCTGGGCAAACCTCACAGAACTGGGTGGGGGCGGGGGTGCAGAGGGGTAGGGAAGACAACAGTACCAATGCCCAAGGTTTCATCATCTATAAAATATTATAAAAATGTTATAAGCACTAATCCAATAGCCCAGCTGATTGTAATAACACAAACATGGACTGAAATGCTTCCCTGAGAAGCAAACGTGGATCGACTTGGAACTTCTCACAGATATGCAAATATGAAAGGCATTCTACCATGTCTGTTTAAAAAATATGTCTAAGTGGATTAGAATTCCAACCAAGATGGATAAAAACAAAAATCTAAAAATGCATGACTTGGGAGGTATTTCTAAACTTTATGAAACTTTTAAATCTTTACTATCATGTGGAAAAATATGAATCTGGAGAGATTGATTATCTGTATGTTGATGATGTCAGGCCACCTAATTCTGCTCTTGTGGCTTCAGACAACATTAGGCCTCACAGCTGAATTATTGCTTTCCAATCAATCTATCCTTTCCCATTATCACGTGTGTTACTCTCCTGGTTACGATGTCATCAGCATGTTAGTCTCACTGTGCCTATGAACAGTGCTCACGGAGGTAATTTTTTCTCAACAGATGTCCTTTAACTGCTGCATGCTGTAGCTATAAATATAAAAACTAAACCCTAGGCCAGGAATGTCAGATGTCAACCCGTGCCCTCGTGTGTGTCACTAGGGGATGGTGGCAACACACAGCAGTATTTTCAGTTTTAAATATATTTCAAGGACTACATCCTAAGCTGTGTAATTACCTAAGCCTTCTCCAAAGGCTGTCACTGTACATATTTATCTTTTGCATACTTATTTCAAACAGGAATCAGAAACAAAGAATGTTCTCCTTTACAAGAAATGACAAGGTTCCATTGTAACCAGCATCAGTGCACATATGGTATTTATTCTGGTGTCTGAATATTATTTAAAAGTAAAAACGTTATGTATGTGATTCCAGCATTTGGAATGCAGTCAATCTACACCACAGTGGTATCACTCTGAGGTTACAGCCCATTGCCACGGAGAATATAAATCACTATAAACGTGGGATTAGAGCAGAGCCAGTTTGCTGGCAGTTTGCTGAGGTAAAAATGTTATCAATTTTCCTCTTGTAACAGAAATCTCTTAAACAGAGATTAAAACATTAAAAACACTCCAGACTTTAACTCTTCTTGAAATGAAAGGCTCGCCTCGTTGAATCAGACCTTTTATTTCATGCAAAGATGCCTTTTCCCGCTAAGATGAGCAAGAGAGGAGCATTTTGCACAGGTTAACACACAGATCGCTTGAAGGAGCCAACATCTCTCTCAATGACACTAGACTTTCAAGAAAGGAAAAAAAAATGCAAAAGCACAAACAACAAACCAAACATTTTATTGCTTTTACAGGATATGCTAAAATCTCTTCTGGGGAGCACTGGTTTTAAATTTCAAGTGCAACATTGTGAGATTTTAATGCCATTTCCCATAAACGATATCCGCTAAGAAAGCATCTCAGAAATGTGGAAAGTTTTGTTGGAAACCCAGATTCTTCGTATGCAACAGGGCTGCTTTAATTAAGAATCTGTTCAGGTTTATGTGATTTAAATAAGCCTGGAGTTTTCAAAGTGGCCATAAATTTGAATGATAAATTTTACTCAAAATTGAAGTCAGTTTGCACCGTAGGGAGCAATTGTTTAAATGAAATACAGGAGCACAAGATTTTGAGAGTGTTGAACCATAGAAAGCTAATGGTTTGTTGGTGTCTTTTCAGACAGATGCCAAATGTTTTTCACTCCAGTATTTGGCATGCATACAGAATTTTGTGCTTCAAGTTAGTCTTTTTTCTTCTTCTAATCGGTTCTGGTCTTTTTGGAGAGGGTGAAGATATTTATTATAGCCAACTTAAAAAATACATATATGTACATCCTGCAGTCCCCAATGACTGTAAAGATGCTCTAGAGCTCTTTCAATTCTTTCTCATGTCAGCTGTCATTTACACTGAGTTCATAAAATAATATTAAGGGCTTTGGCTTCACTAAACAAAAGCAAATACAATTTCTGCCTGTAATCCTATCTTTCACCCACCCTGCTGTGCAGGGTCCAGTAAAGTGTGAGATAAGCAGTGGAGATCTGCAAGGGCTGGGAGAGGCCAGTGTCCCCTTGCCAGCCTCACCTCCCTGCCTCCTGGTCCCTTTCACTGCACAGACATGTAAGAACCTTCTGGCTTTAGCTGCACGTCCACAAATTTTGCAAGTACAAGTATTAAGAACATATTGATTTGGCAGTGCAGATAAGAATGGAAAAAGGTCATTTGAACAAGTCTATTTTATGAACAACTACAGACCTCCTAAAAGTCTTTGTTGGAGAGAGCACACATTTCAGAAGAATTAAAAAAATATATATATTTGGTTAAAAACAAAAGACGGGTCACTGAAAGTTAACGCGTGGTATACAAACAACATTTCTGCATTTTCCTTTGTGTGCTATCCCCTCCTCTACCTTGATTTCTGTTATGCCATTGCTAAAGAGTCAAAATGAAACTGGGAATTAGTTAATGAATACATCAGGCCCTCTACAATGAAGTCTGGGGCATGGCATTGCCTCCTTCCATCCCTGACCAGATGATATTTTCCAGGGTGCAAGTCCATCAGTGAGATACGGCGGGAGAACCAACAGAACCAAAGAGTGGACAGAAGGATGGGTGCCTGAACAACCTAACCCGAACAAGCTAACTGCAGATTTCCCCAAGGATTCCCTAGCGACCTCTCATTCCACCCATAAGACAGACAGGATAGTGGTTGTTTTAATGTTGTGCCTGTCTATAATGCCTTTTCAAAGAGCCTCTTAGAGAACCTTACACAGGTAGATTATTAGTGGTCAGATGGAGCTGAGTTTGAATCCCAGCTCTGCCTCTTACAGTCAGTGATTCATCAAGATTTGAGGCCTTCTGTGTGCAGCAAGGATACAAAGGTGAGCCGAACACACACTGTCCCTACACTCACGAACTTGCAGCTAGGGTGGGAAGGAGATGATCCAATAATCAGGGAAATAAGTAAAAAGTTCCCACTGTGGTAAGCACCACAAAGGAGAGACTCGTGGTGCTATATGCTTCTAACGGGGGAGCAGGGAAGCTGGCACCTACGGGGTGAGTAGAGGTTGACCAGGTTAGAAGCTGTATGCTGTTGAGTGGGTCAGTTAATCTGTGTCCAACTCTCTTCATCTGTGAAAATGAGAAGAATCCCACATACTCCCAAGATTGTTAGATACCACAGCATAGGTTAAGGTGTCTAAACACCATGCCTAGCCACTCAGTGAGAGTCCGTTTCCCTTTCCCTTTCCTTTCTACTAAAGTTTCTACTTTTTCAGGTCACCCACTAGCTTATAAATTAAAATGCTCCTTGCTTATAAATAACCAGAAGTGCAAATAATAGAACAGAAAATTATCATTAAATGCAACATTTATGTTCTCACATTTGACTACAATGTAGGTAACATGCATTTCATGAGGTATTTGGACACAGTAAGAAAATTTATCTAAAAGTCAAAAGCTTGGGTTCTGATCCACGTTCTTCCATTACCTAGTTATGAGGCCTTGGGAAAATCACTTTCCCTTGGCTGGAATCAAGGGATAATGTTCGATTCCAATTCTGAAGAGAAATTCTACAGTTCTACAGCAGATTCTCTAACTTGTTAGTGACCCGCAACACTCTGCTCCTACTTCCATCTCGTAGTACTATTTATATTTATACCATATATATATATACACATATATATATTTCTTTATACACACACACACACACACACACACACATTAATGTTCCTCCCAAAGCATTTCAATGTCTTAGCCACCTTGGTATCTTTAACACAATGCACGGCACAAAGGATGGACTCAACAAATGTTTGCTGGATAAATGTATGACTGAATCAATGCAAAATCAGGAAGAGACAGAATTTTCCCTTTAGAAACTCAGGGGGATCCAAATTATGGTCAATAACCAAGACTGAATAAATGAAAGGAGCAACAGGCTCTATTGAGCAGTAAGTGGGGGAGCATCATATGATATCTGGCTACAGGCTTAGATACAGGCTTATTTGGTTAGTTAGCTACAACCACGGACTTTAGCTGATCACTGTTTCCTCTGAAGTTACAACATTTAGCCTTGGATCTATAGGGGGAAAAAAATCTCCCTTCAGCAGTCCAAAAAGTGCCAGCCATTTGGAGGAAAGGTTTGGTTAGAGGAAATATCCTAAGGATCACATCTTACAGTGAATAGCATTTATCATTAGGTTCAAAGAGAATAAATTAGAATCAGAAACTCATCCTATGCTTCAACAATGGGCCATTTTCCCCTCTCAAAGGAAATCTTATGTCCTAGCCCTCCTAAAAAACACCACCTTCAAATCTTATACATTATTTAGTGAATTCTTTGGGGGAAAAAAATCTCCAAAAAGAAAATAAAGAGTCTTACTTGGTCAAATGGAAAAAATGGAAACAAAGAAAGGCTAAGTGATTTACCCCATGGCATACAAGTCGTCTGATATATGGAACTAGAAAATTAAATCTTAAAGTTCACAGTTGTGGTCAGCAGACGACCCTGCTTTATAAAATAAATACAGACAAAACAGAGCCTTGAATAGATCAAGGTAAGAGGGAGATAATGCCACATCAGTATTTAATACAGGTAAAACAGAAGATGTGCCATTTAAAATAGGCCCCCATAAAGCATGACATTATTGTAAATAAGACCCAGTTTAAACAAGATCCTTCGTTCATATATGCTTTTTATA